ATAAAAGCCACTGGACACAATGTTAAGCCTGGCTAGGACAATACTCCATATATGTAGCCTCTACTTATTATTGTAGAGTGAGATTTCCCAGCATTAGCTTCCTCAGGGCACAGGTTTTTCTCTCCGCTTTGTGATTGGACAACAAACCTCATGGACATGGTAGATGCTCTTCCCCAGTCATGTCCATCACATCACCTGTGATAGCAAAAAGAAGCAGAAGGCTCTCATTTTCCTGAGTGCAGATCTCTAGCATTTGTTTCTGCACAGCACAACATGTTAAGCATTGTGGCCGCCAACCGTTTTCTCAGGACCTCTTCACCAAACCTTATCTGGCACTCCAGCAGTGCCTGAAAGTTATGAGGAAGAAAGGTACCTTCTGGGATTTCATCAGCCTCATGCCCATACACAGTTTCTAATAAAGTTTCTAATAAAGACAATAGGTACCCTGTGTTTTCCTTCTTTTCAGGGTTTAAGTCTTTTTTATTTTATTTTATTTTGGTATTAATCTTGGGACTTGAACATAGGACCTGAGCACTGTCCCTTAGTTATTGCTCAAGGCTGGCACTCTGCCACTATAGCCATGCCTCCAGGTCTCCAGTCCAGCTTTTTGCTGGGTAATTGGAGATAATTTTCTCAGACATTTTCTGCCCAGGCTGGCTTAGATCTCAAGTCTTCTGAATAGATAGACCTATAGGCCCGAGCTATAGGTGCTTGGCTCATTCTACATTTTCTATTGTCTTATGTATTCTCTTCTTTTTTTTTTTTATTGTGAAAATACTGAACAGAGGGGTTACAATTACATGGGCAAGATAACGAGTACATTTCTTATCAAGCACTGTAGCCTCCTCCTTTGTTTCCCCTTTATGTAATCTCTTCTTTCTCCTGTCCTTTAAGTCACTAAAATAAAAATAATGCAACTATGACCTAGTCCAACAGTGGCACACAAAAAGAAATTCATGAATATTTGCTGAATAAAGGAATAGAATGTAAAAAAATTCCAATTTTACACACCAATTCAATTAATCCATGCATATTTACTAATTTACATATCTTTTTCTTTTACTGTTCAAGTATCTCTTGAACTCTGCTCTTACATATATTTTTCTGCTCTTCACATATATTTTTCTTTTTTTTGTCGGTCGTGGGGCTTGAACTCTGGGCCTGGGCGCTGTCCCTCAGCTCTTCAGCTCAAGGCGAGCACTCTACCACTTGAGCTACAGCGCCACTTCCGGTTTTCTGGTGGTTTATTGGAGATAGGAGTCTCA